AAGAAAATAATTATGAAGACAGGCTTCCCATAGTTAACCTTCATTTTTTTAAAGTTTAAATATATTAATAAATCAAACAGATGCATCAGTAAAAATTGGCAAATGACAATGGCAGAAGCCAAAAACCAGCTGCCCCCTAAACTATGTGTGGAAAAGAAGTTTCATCTGACTCTTAATCAGAGAGATGAAAATTAAGGCAAATGCAATATATTCTGCTCATAAAATTAACCAAATTAAAAATATGGTAATAATAGTCAATATTAGGAAGGATCAGTGAGATAGTTACTTAAGTTGTCTGGGAGTCTGATTTGATATATCTTTTCTAAACATCAATTTTGTAATAAGTAAGGAGAGTTTTAAAAATGTCACTCCTCTCATTTAATGATTTCACTTTAAGAAACATTCTGATGAAATAATTGGGCAACCACATACAAAGAATAATGTACAAGAATTTCAATAGGAAATTTAAAATAATAGCAAAAATCAGAAACAATCCAAACATTTAATAACAGAGTCTACTTAAATAAAATTTATACGACCATTAAGATGTTATTGAAGAATTGTAATGGCAATGGAAATGCTCACAATGTAACTTACATTGATAAAGAATTATGTAATCAATACCTTTTGCAGGATGATATAAACTATATACATTAAAAATGTTACCAGGAAGAAAGTATATTAAAATGTTAATAATGGTTATATTATGGATTGATTATACCTTTAATTTTGGTCTTTGCTCCTTTCTGACTTTTCCAACTTTTCTAAAATAAACACATGGCACTTTATGACCGAAGTTAAAAAGTTACTTTAAAACATGTGCCTAGATTCTTTGTTGATCACATTAACATCTTGACAACATTCTGCAAACTAAGGAATGAGTCACCAACTCCTACTGGACCATTACAAAAGGGCCCAGGTTGTGACGATAATGGTTCCTTTCCCTTCTGGACTCACCTGCGGACATGGGCTGCTGTCGCGGGTTGGCGGAGCCTGAGGTGTCATTTGCCGTATTCCTTTGTAGGCCTGCGTGGATGCTGTTTCCCCTGGACCAAATGGACTTCTGTACATTGGCACTTTAGAGCTATTGTATTGAATGGAGAGTTTTCTTAGAGATTGTAATAATTTTCCATTATGAGCTAAGACATTGAGTGGAGTCTTAGAAAATGTTAAATCTGTTATTAAAATTAATATCCAACAGTGGCAATAGGATAGGCCAACTTTTTTTCTTTGTGCTCTTTTCCCGCTACTCGGCTGATATTAATTAGCCAATAATAGGCGTGAAAATTCCATCCCCCTCTTCCTGACAACCTAGAAATGAGAATGCAAAGAAAGTCAGGGACAACTGCAGGGAACCCCCAGGTTGCCGTGTCCTGGCTGAAGACTGGGGGTTCTCGGCGCAGCTGTGGGTTGACTGTGACATATTGGAAAGAACACAGAATAGAGCAGACCCGGTTAAGGTCAGGTATGTTCCATTGTATGTAATTCCATCTGGTTTCATTCCGTTATTCAAAAACCATTTAAAGCCTCGTACCATCTTGAGTTATTGCAGATAAAAAAGGATCGTTAATGAAAGCAGGGAACTCCCTGTTCACAGAGACTTCACATTTAATAATCAGACAAATACACAATCATGATCTTTTGATATAATGTGATTTTTACTACAGAATGCAAGGAGAGTATAGGAACGGATGTGATTATTCTATAGTACATTGAATTATTTTGTTCAGGAGTGGGCATTTTGGGGTAGAAAAGCAGGACAACCTGTAACTTCTTTGTCACACATCTTGTGAGTGACATACTCTATTCCTACCCCATCTGAGATCAGTTCAGTACCTTGAAGCTATTCAACACCATTTTCTGTACTCATACAAATATTCACAAATATCAAAATACATATTGAATTTGTTTTTGAAATAAAAATGGCATTGTTTTATATGCAATATTTGGCCACTTATGTTTTTTCTCTTAATGTATGATGGTGAATAATAAATAGGTGCTAAAAGTTGTTCTTAAGTAGACTCATTGTGTTCTGTTGTATGTCTGTATCACATATATTCCATCATTTTTCTACCATTGGACCAGGAGGTTGTTTCTGGTTTGTTACCCTGCCCTCGAATGCCACAATATTTATCTTTATTTACTATGTAGAGTTGCTTTTATTCCTGTAAGACAGAGTTCAAAAAGTAGATTAAGGGCCAAATCTTGTGTATATTTTTATTGAGTACATCCCAGTCTTCTATAGTCGATCCTTCCACTTGAGCACATGAGCGCTAGATTCTCCCCACCCCGGCTGCTGAGGGGCTTTGCTCCACCAATTTTCCCCTTTTGCAGCAAATCATAATTTTCTCTCCAAAAACTCACTCTCTTCAGGACACCATTGTGCTTCGCTTTTTCCATCATAACAAAGCCTTCTCCTAACATGAGTCACTCTACCACCTGGACTATCTCTCTGCTTCCTGCACAGTAAAAAATTCTGAAAAAGTTTATCATGTATTATCTTCAATTCCTCATCTCCCACTTTCTCTCAAACTGCCTCTAGTCTGTTTTTTTTATACTGCCATTGCCCACAACGCTCTTTTTGAGGTCGTTGGTCATTTTCTTATTGCTCAATCCAAAGGTCAGTTTTTACTTGACCTAGCAGTAGACCACGCATGCCCTCCTCCTTGGCACACTTTCATTCATCATATTCAGACATCGTTATAGATTCTGGAAATACAACTGAAAACAATAAAAGGATTCTCCCTACATGGAGCTTTCATTATAACAAAAAAAAGTAACATGTATAACACAGGTGGCAAACATAAGGCCTGTGGGCCGAATCCGGCCCTCCACCTTGTTTTATTGGGCCTGGCACCTTGTTTCTACCCGGCGGCAGGGCTGAGCTCTTGTTTAACTGTTAAAGAGTAGTTACATTTATACAGTCCTAAAGTTACAGTCAGTTCTTTACATTCACTCTTTGAGGGCTGATGTGGCCCCCGGTGAAAATGAGTTTGACGCCCCATATTATATGAGACGTCAGATGCTGGTGAAATACTTTACAAAATAATAATAAAGCAAAGCAGGAGGATTGACAGTGCCCGAGTGGAGACAGGGGCTGAAATGTTAAGTGGGTAACCAGGAAAGGCCTTAAGAATAAGGTAACATGTGAGCCAAGATCTTTTGTGGATCTTTGGGAAGTGAGGCGGCAAGCCATTCAGAGAGGTGGCTTATGGGTACCAATTCTTTAAAGAAGATATTTAAGTTTTAAGAGAAGGCTTAACCTCAGGGGAAGAGGGAGGCATGAGGGCTGGAGCAGAGGGAGTGTAGGTGGGGCTGGGGCACGGAGGTGGAGCAGGTTATCGGGGGCTCACATATGTAGGACTTTTCTGAGTGATGCTATGATTTTTACTTTTTAGCTTAAAAACAATGGAAAGATACCAGAGGAATTTAAGGTGTGGGAGTTTGGGGGAGATGAGCATGTGAGGAATGTGATCATATTTGTGTTTTTAAAAACTGAGTCAAACTTCAGCGGTCAAAAGGAATGCAAATCAGAATACAGATCTTTGTGTTCTAACCATGAGAATGCAGGGATTTAGACAAGATATCAAGTATTCAATAAATCTGATGGCTAACTGACATATGTTATTATTATTCTGCTAGGGAAAGGTGCAATAAATGGATTGAAGAAGACAGATAAATTAGAACCTGATGTTTTTGCTTTCGTATCAAACACCTGAATGACTCACAAATTTTATAAGGATATAATGATGTCAACCTGCTAGCAAATGTGACACAAACATAATGAATGCCATCAAATTGTGAAGCCGATATGTACTTTTTCATTTAAAGAGCTATATAAATATCTTTAAATTATACCAAATAATAAAATGGCAAAATAACCACAGAAATAAGGCTTGGGATTGAGAGAGAAATACACTGGTGGGTGTCTGAGAAAAGATTAGAGAATTCCAGAAGAAATTAATACTAATGTAAACTGATCCTTTACAATGGGAGTAAATAAATTATTCTGTTTTTTTCTGACCCAAATGTTTAATGATCATGAGAGGTAGGAAATGCTACCTCTTCTCTTTACCTTGTGAAATTTTAGATTATAAAGAAAGGGTTACTTCAAAAGTTCAGGTCACAGAGACTTTTTGGAAGTCATCTTTAGACTGTGGTCAGGTGTGTGACGGGGTCTCATACACCATGGGCACCATGTGCTGCGGGTCAACCTTCCGGAGCAGCGTGGCATTCTGAATTTTGAGGGTTAGCAAAATTCACAACTTTTGACCCAAGATTTTCCTTGAATAAATTTATCTTAATAAAATGTTAAAAATATGGGAAAGGTTGTAGGGATATTAAAAACAGAATTTAGGGGGCACAAAATCTGAAGATAACTAGAATTTTCAATGAGATAAGGGATTGCATGTGAATTATGGCACTTATCAGGATGAGAGGGAGGCCATAAAAAATGACATTTTGGAAGTGAATGACATGGGAAATGCTCTTCATTTAATGTAAATAAAAAGAAAAATAAAAAATTATATCCAGAGCATAATTCGTTTTTGGATTACTAAAATGTGAGTAGCATTCATCTGTGAGCAATGGAATACTGAGTGTCTTTTCCTTTTTTTTATAAAAATGAAGTGTTAATTCTAAATGAAACTTTAAAAGCAAACCAACTAAAAAGGTAGGGATAGAACACAAAGTTATTCAAATACTCTAATATTAAAAATCTTCTACAGAAAACTGTAGTTGAAAAATAATTAAATAAATTTTTAAAAATCGTCTGCATCTGATGCCTTTAGTTGCAATAACTCTCAATATTGGGATGGAGCACTTGAAGAGATTTTGCCTCTGGTTCTACTTTAGATGAAAACGCACTTCTGGAAGGGAAAAGCAGGTCTCCTTCTCCCCGGCCTCCTGCCTCCCTCAGGCTCACCAGCATTATCAGAGCTGCTGCTCTGTGCCCAGGCCCCCGGCGGCCACTCCCCCAGACTGCCGCTCACAGCGCTCACCTGGCCTGTGCGAGGTCACTCGTGTCCTTTGGATTCACCCGGTCCCGCAGCCACTGCCTTCTCCCAGCTTGCTTCCTCCGACAGCCCATGTGGACCAGGTTGTTTCTGACGGCCCTGAGGAGGAGCTTCGTGTTCTCCTTTGCGGACATCTCCTGGAACGGCCAACAGCGCAAAGGGTGTCCGATCAGTCTCGACATGCTCTTCTTCCCCTACTCGGGCAGACCGGCTGCCCCAAAAGGTTCTGAAATTCCCTCACTGACATTTACGTCCTCAGAAAAATCATTTTGCTTTCTTACTGCCTGGATTTCTTCACGCCCTCTCTGTCTACGTGCACACACAGCATACATTTCCAAATTACATACCCCTGAACTTCTACAATAACTGTTCTTCCTTGGAGCAACCTAGTGATGTGGAATTTTAAAGCTAGAACAGGGGAAGAAAAGAGGAGTAAGTTCATGGTTGTTAACATTTGGGTGGTGGATTTTTTTGAGAATGGGGCGATCACCTGTGGATTTATCTCCAAGAAAATGCTCATATATTTAATTCTGTATAAAATCTCAGTGGATGCCCAGACCATTTAAAGTTCATCCACCAACCCCACATTAAGAAATTTTGTCCCCCACACCCCCAAAAAGGCAAAGAGGGAGTACAAGGAGTTGGTATGGATTTTCAGCACTTGAAACCTGAAGTGCAACAAGTGACCACACGGTGTCAGTCTAACACCGATAAACCCTGTTTCTCCCCAGGCTTTTAGAAATGGGAAGATCACGTGCCAATGAACCCGAGGATTTCGGTTAATAATATAGTTTAGTAAAGCAATGCCCACTGGGAATTACTTGGCAAGACGCAGGCACTTGACTTTTGTGGACCACTCTCGCTAAAGGGGAGAATGAGAGAAAACTGTCCTCTGAGAAGCCAGTTCATCAAGACAGTCCACTCACTACTGCGGTCCTTGAGGGTGATGCCATCTGTACAGAGAGATTGGTCCATGGAAACTTTGTGACGTGAAGAAAGTGTCCTTTCTGAAAAAACTTAACTACTCTTTGTTTAATATTCACTATCCCATTTCTCTTTCTTCTTAGAAAGACCTGAATTCTCTTGTTGAATATTAAAACTTTTCAAAAAAAGTTTTAATATTCAAACTTTCTTTGAAAAGTTTTAGTTTTGTGCTGTTCCACTCAAGATGGTGATAGTTATCTTTTTCTTTGATTTTTCCTAGAGAAGAAAATACCCGATGCCTTGGGCTCAGGAGAAGTCATGTTAAAAAGGAAAACGCCCCCACTGAACTAGCAGCTAGAAGCCTTGTTGCCTCGCCTTTCCCTTTAAATCCGTGCCCACTGCCCATGCCTCACCCGCCTTACACCTCATTTTCTACCACACAGTCCAAGACTGATGGCTTCTGACTCACCTTTGGTCAGCCTTTTCCTGTCTCCAAAAGTTTAACTAAAATTTACAATGTAAAAAAATTATATTGAGAGATATTTAAGGTTTCCTTTGCCACATCCTTAGTCTTAGATATTTATCAAGCATGAAAGGAACAGAATCCATGGTTTTACTGGAGGGAAAGTTTTTAAACTGCTGCAGCTGGTACTAATGCGACTTGTGAACAGTTTGCTGCGTTAAGGGAAGTGTTACCTGGACGCGGTGCTCACTCACAGGATGAGACTTCTGGTGGGACTTGCTGTGCAGGCCAGATAAGAAGCACAGCTGGCAGATGTCGAAGTCGAGACACTTGAGACAGCGGTATCTGCAGATGACAATGGAAGCACAGCTGACATTGCTACTCGCAGGTGAACACAGAAAATGACATTCGGGTGGAAAACAAGCAGAAACACACAGGAGATGTCTGAGCTGCCAGGTGAGTGCGACATTTCTCCCAAATTTTGCAGGGATGGATTCTGAATGGCTCTGATGTGTTTATCTAATTGAATAACTCTTTTGATGATATTTTTAAAATATGGCATTATATTCATATAGTTTTATCCAACAAACTGTAGTGTAACATCTCATTCATCCCTGCCCCCAAATATTTACAAATGCAGGGTAATGTGTGCTACAAACTTTACGACAGACCCTTCAGACCACCACTACCAATGACCTTGAAGCAGAAATGCAAACTCACTGTTTTGGAGGCTGCCTGGTCCGTTTGAGATTTTCAATAACCATTGGTTGAATTAAGCCAAATGAACGCCAGTTTCTTCACCAGGAAAATGGAACTGGTAAACCCTGCCCACTCAGCCTTGCAAGGTGCTGACAAAGCTTTGAAAATTATTCAGCATGCCTAAATGGGGAGGCTTTCACTTTTTACATGAAATGTATAATATAACAAAGTATATTGATAAGGATTATTTGATAAGCCACCCATACTGGCTGCTTTATCCAGCATTATGCATGATTGCAGTCAACTCACCTAGGACAGTATGTGGACCCTGACGTTGCATTAGTTCCTCTATGCTCTGAAATAACCAGCAGATTTATGGGAGGGGGTGCAGTGTGCATAATGAGATTAGTTTGTCACCGATGCCTTTACCAACAGAGAACTAAATTTCTTTCCCAAACTCATTTCAACCTTCAATGACTATTAACGAGCATAAATGTGACATGTACTGTGAAAGTTTAACAGCTGGTTCAGGAACAATCCTTAGTTTTTGTACTTTCTCTTACTTTAGAAGGCCCGTACCCTCTTCCTGCTACCTCCAGATCCTATAACACTTCTCTGAAAATGGCTTTATTAAGCTCACTAAACAAAAAGCCCGGAGGCTATTGCTGGAGTTCAGCAGAGCCAAACACACAGGAGCAAGGTCGGGACAGTAACACTCAAGGTCAGGACAGTAACACATTCCAGCAGTTTCTAACAGATGCAGGCTACAGCTCCAGGAGGCCTGTGACATCCTCTGACACCCCCTCCTTATTTTACTTACACAGAAACTGAGGCCAGCTCACCCAGCTATCTCATGTATGAGAACTGAACATGGCCTTGGATGTCCAGGAGACGGTTCCCACGGGGGCCCTTCTGTTCTGAAGAGATAGGAGATTATCTAAAACGTAACAGGTGGCACTGCCTGCCCTCTCCCTCTGCTGTTTTTGGACTGGAGAAAACCATTCAAACCCTTTGAAACTCTTTCATAATATAGGAATAATTATATCTCCTATACATTACACATAATGATTTTGAAACAATGTTCAACGTAATAGCTGTGTTTTATATCATTGCAAAGTGAATTCTGTATGTGCTCCAGTATGGGACACATAGGAACTGCTGAATTAATACTTATTTATTGGCTAAAGGATTATAATACACGTAGAACATAGTTAATAATATGCATGTTCCTCCACTGTCCAATAGTAAAAGAGCTTATTTTTCATTGTAATGTGGAGATTTGTTTGGTGTGGCTTACTTGGTTTTCAACAGTCTTGTTCATTTATATATATTATTGTTTTAAGTTCAGTTATGGGAAAAGAGCTTTTCATGAGTGAAGTTTCACTGTGCCAGAATTCTTTTCAAACCCAATTTATTTTCTCAGCAAAATTAAAACCAGTTTCCCAGTTTCTTAATGGGCCCAGCATGTTTAAGATTTGGGGCTAATCAAAATCCCAAAGTGCTGAGAAGAAGAGAAACAGAGGGAGCAGGGGCCAGGCCTGACTCCTTCCGCCTCCTGCCCCTCCGGGGGCCCCTCCTCGACTTGTTTTTGGCTATGCAGGGCCCCAGAATAAGTCTCCCTCCTAGAATGTATCAATCTGGCACGCAGACTATTTTGAGCTAAAAAAATTAAAGCTTCAGGAGGTTTTGTTTTCTTTCTTGTTACCTGCCTAAAGGATTTCAGATAGAAAAACCTGCCTCAAGAAGGGAACCTTAGCGTAGTCACCTTCGAACCCATGAATTAAGACCCGGAGGATTCAAGCAAATAAGTTTATTAGATTCCCCTGTGCGTCCCACCGTTTCTGGGTGGCCAAGCATTTGCTTTCCACATATTTCTCTTCCTCATCTGCCTGTGAATCGCCTGCTTTCCCCTTGAAACCTCAGACCCCTGCCTCCCTCTCCCTGGTCCAGAATGGCACGTAAGCCACAAGTGCCCAATGTGTCTTTGGATCTCTTATTCTTATGGAATCCCCATATGTACCACTGAAATAAATTGGGTTATTTTCTTCTGTTAGTCTGTCTCATGTTAATCTGAGTACTAACTAGCTCAGCCGGAAGAACTTAGAAAAGTAGAAGAAAAATTATTTTTCTGTTCCCAGAGCTAGCTGGTAGTCCCAGCTCATCTGCCCTTCCCCATCTCCTCCCCTGTACCTGCTGTGTTCACTCACCAGGACAGTGGTGTCCCTCATGCCTTGCCTGGGTCTGTTGGTTTCTTTTTTTATTAATAACTCTAATTTCACTTCTTATTGTTTTATTTATGGGAGGCCTAAAACATCCTTTCCCTAAGATGGGATTCTTGGCTGTCCTGCTCAAAGATCTGACTCTTCTACCTCCAAACCTAGCTTTCAAATACGCCCTCTCTCTAGGCAGAGAAGAGACGTGGTGTGGGCTGCTCCCAGAAAGCTTGTTCATTTCTTAGGGTCCAAGGACATCCTCAGTTGCCACCACAGGGAGGCAGCAGAGCATCATGGTTGCAAAGCAAGGATTCCGGATTCAGACCACCAGCCTCTGCTGCTTGCTAACCATGTGAACCTAAGCAAGTTATTTAGCTTCTCTGAAGTCAGGGATAATAATGCCACCTTTTATAGAGAGTTAGAACAAGAGTAAATGAAATAATCCATGTGAACCATACAACCTAACAGTTACTCAACACTTAATAAAGGCAAACCATTATTATTGTTCATATTATGGATGGCTCCAAGATATTTAAAAGGTTTTTTTTTGTGTGTGCAACAACAGAAAATATTTTTTCCCTTAGGGGAATAAAAGTGTCTACTGGTTAGAGTATAAGTCAATGGAAGAATTTAATATTCCATTAATTATAGAAGATGAAACACTTATCATCAACTGGGATCCTTCATGGAGGATATTAGTGTAATTTGTCTCCCAAATTAACTGAATCGCAGATGTGCGAGAAGGACCACAGAAGGGATCTGCTGAGACGCAGCTACAGCTCTAGACCCATCTGGGAACGACTGTCCGTGTAACACTGGTGAGTCACTGTACCTCCGTCCCGTGATTGGGAAGTTCCTGCATATTCTACACCGAACAGGATGAGTGACCGTTTCAGCGGCTGACAACTGGTGGCAGGTCGGGAGCCACAGGAGGAGGGGAGGCTCGGACTGTAACCAAGATAGGAATTTCTCTTCTTTGATCGCTGGGCTCAGCACCTGAAACACAATGGCACACCTGGATGTGTTTCTAGAAACGACGGGATAGGCGAAAAATATATTTTCCTCTTCTGGCTCTGTCTCTGTGAGCTCTGCCAAAAGAAGTTCATCACATGAAAAGTCAGAGGCAAGTCTAGCCCTTCAAGCAGGTTGTCTGTCTGGGAGGCTGAATGGCGTATCAGGTCTGTAATTTAAACGGGCCAGCAAATGTGCCAGCCTCTCTTCCCCAGGGACATTTGCGTGGCACTCACCCCTCGGAAGCAACTGCGTACAGCCCTTTCCACAGAGCCCAGAGCACGACTCTCGCCCACGACGGCTGGGATCTGCAAGAGGCAAGAAACCCTAGGTCAGCTGTTAGGAGATGGAGAAATACGTGGACACTGACACCAGCGTGCCTGATCGGTGGTGCACACAGCCATGGGGCCACAGGATGGGGTACGCTGTCTCAGTGCAAGCAAATGAGAATGTGTAGGTTTTGTGCAATGTATGAAGAGACAATAGGAGAATAAGTGGGAGGATGTGGATCTGGGAGAAGAAAAGAGGGTGAGAAGAAGGTCTGGCCATTGGGCAATACAGGGACAGCTTTCATTGTTGCTTATGATCTCAGTCAAATTATTTAACCCTTTTTTGCTCTTGTTTGCCTATGCAGTACATATAATGATGCTGTGTGAAAGTTCAGAGCAGCTTTAAGGTAAACCTTTTCAGACACTTTCACATCATCTCACATTAACAAATGCCAATTTCTGGGGTAGGGCAGGGGTCAGTCATTGTCCTTGTTTAAAACAAGGGGCAATTGAGGTTGGATACTCTCTGCTCAAGGTTAAACAAAGAAAGTTATAGCCACAGAATTGAGATCTCTCTCCAAGACTCCTCGCTCTCGTGAGGGGCTCTCACAAAGCTTAGTCACACTCCAACCCTATGTGTACTCGAATGGCTCAGTCTACACCCACTCACGGGTTCCACCTTTCAATCACATTCACCATAAGGAAGTTAGCCAAGGGACTGAGAACCCTCCCCATCGCCAAGATGGCCAGGAACTTGGATCTGACATTATCTATACGCACATTTACATTTACCTGTCACCTCTGTTTACGCCCATTCTGTCGCAGGTCCTAATTTTGTGTCTGGTGTCTTCCACAGCACAGGCTGTCAGCAGGCGCTGCCTGTAAACTCGGGAGTAATTTCAAGACCCTCCTGCTGAGTCCATCAACTCGAATAAACATTCGTCTAATCAGGAAAGTGGCACTTAGAACCACTTTGCTGACAATTAGCCAGGCAGAAGTCAACAAACATTTGCGTAATAGTGACAAGATGGCTTGTACTTTAAATGGATAATAACCCCATCACCAGCTGAACAGGAGTAACGACTCTGTATGTTATTTAGCCTTTGTCTGAAAAAAAAAATAGCTCATTACCCAATGCTGGTGAACTAACTGGACCACTTAGTTAGACATTGTCCTTGAGCCGTAGGAAAGGGGTTTAACTAATTTGTGAAATGAGGGAAGTGTCTCAGATGGGATGGACCTGCCATCTCTGTGATTCAGACACCAGTCAAGAGAAAATTCACTTTTGTAGTGGGTTTTAACCTATATTTTTGGCTCTAAGTGGGAGCACAAAGATTTTGTGGATTAATTGCCCATTTGACTAATTTCTTTCAGGTGTTCTGGGGAAGAATTAAACATGACTAGATGACACACTGGCACAGTCAGAATGCCACTTGAGATGATAATTAGAGTTCTTGGGGGAGGGGTTTGAATCACAGAGTGAGACCTGGAATTTTATATAGGACTCCATCTCTAAGTTCTTAATGGAAGTCAATGGGATCATAATTTGCTATGCAAATTTCTTTCTTCCTAACAGCTTTCTCAGGAGCATAATAATGCGTTGGGGGAAGGCAGTGCTCTGCGGGAGCTGCCGTTTCAGCAGCTCATTGACCTCAGCTGAGCCTGAAACAAGGGCAGATTTTTTGGGCCTGTGGGATGGGGTGTTAGCCTGAGGCCAGCAGTCAGTAGGCAAGAACAGGATTTCTACAGAAGAAGGAAAATGCCCCCCATTCCATCTTCTTTAATCACGCGCATCTACACAGGCCCGTTTTAGAAGCCTGATTGTGTAAATGAATGGACAGATTTTCCCACTCTCTGGTTCCCCACCAGCTTGGGTCCTGAGATGTGGGGACTGTGAAGCATCGCCTCTGCTGCAGAAGCTCCTTGAGACGTGCCTGGGAGTCAGCAGAAAACTGGCATTAAGATCCACGTGCTTCCACAGCTGCCAGAATTGCTCTGGAATAACAACGCTTGACGTTTTAACCTTATTGATTTACCAAAAGTTATTGTACTTTAAAAATTTTTTTATTTTATTTATTTATTTTCAGAGAGAGGGGAAGGAAAGGAGAGAGGGAGAGAAATATCAATGTGTGGTTCCTCTCATGTGTCCTTCACTGGGAACTGGCCTGCAACCCAGGCATGTGCCCTGACTGGAAATCGAACCGTGACCCTTTGCTTCACAGGCCCACGCTCCATCTACTGAGCTACACCAGCCAGGGCAGATTTACAAAAAGTTATTGTACTTTTAAGAAGTATGAATATCTCAAACATAGTTTGGAATTTTTAGAATAAATTAAACATTAATTATTGTGATTAATAAGAACATAAAATTTTATATTAAGACCAAAGCAAAGCAGAGGTAATTTTGTGTAGGTTTGCCAAAACATGCACTCTGTCCTAGAGTTCTGAAAACTGTCCTCAACACCCACTCCCTAACCCCATCTCCACTATCCCAGTTCAGATCCCTGGTCCTGCACGGTACCAGAATATACCACCCCAAAATGTGCCTCTTTGGCATAGGAATTATTTGAGCTAAAGGCCATCTACTGAGAACCAGTAGATGCAGGAAAAACTCTAAAAATAGGGCAAAAGTTTTACTTTCTAAAGAAAGTGTAATTTTTAAAGGGAATTTCCATGTGCCAAAGATATCTCGCTCTCCCTACTAGGAAGAGATGAACTCTTAACAATGCTTATTATTGGATAAGAAATCGGCTTCAACCTGAATTACAAACCTTACTAAACAACCCTTGTTCATCATACTTTTCCTGGTCACGTTCTCATAACTTTCCTCTCCCAGTCGGAGGCTCAGAATCTCCTTTCTTTTATTTAGCATAAGATGGTGTGAAAGCCAGAGTTCTAACCATCTCTTTGAGTTACTCATCACTGGGTGCTCCAGTGTGATGCACTATGCACATGTTAATAAACTTGTTTGTTTTTCCCTTGTTAACCTGTCTTTTGTCCATCTAATTTACAGGGCATAAGCCAGATAACCTAAGAAGGATAGAGGAGAAAAGATCATTTTTCCTCTCCTATAGCCTACATCCAGAAGAAAAATAACAGAAAGTTAGTATGGCTTTACCTGTTCAGAAAGTGTAGTGTGGGGATGTTACAGGAACTAGACAAAGAATAGAGACATGCTCCGAATGGGTAAAAGGTGGAGTGGGATGGCCCCCACATATGCACAAGGCAATCCAGAGCCCACTTAACCTATTTGCAAAAATGCTTGTTTGGCTACAATATTGTACATAATTTTAACATTTAATTAACATATTTGCTTTAAGGAGGTTGAATTTCCTTGCCCAACAAAGACAACTATATTAAAATTACACATCTTAAAGCAAAGAAAATCATGGAAATCTTAACTATTTGAGTATTCTGCATTGCATTTTATTTATGCTTTCATTAAGCATTTGTTGAAAGCCTAGCACCAGGCACTTTTCAAACCAGTGGTTAAATAAACATGAATGAGCTATAATCCTTGCCCTTAAGAAGCAGTCTAGTGGGGAAAGGATATGTCTAGGTAAAAATCACAACAAAGATTTCATCAAAATAAAAGGCTTCTGCATAGCTGAAGAAAACAGTACTAAAATAAAAAGAGAACCAAACATGTGGGAAAACATATTTGCCAAATGATACCTTAGACAAGGGTTTAATCTCCAAAATATACAAAGAACCTACATGACTCCGCTCCAAGAAGATAAGCAACCCAATTAAAAAATGGGCAAAGGACTTGAACAGACACTTTCCCAAGGAGGACATACAAAAGATCCAGAGACACATGAAAAGATGCTCAATATCACTAGTTATCAGAGAGATGCAAATTAAAATCACAATAAGATGCCACTTTATACATGTCAGAATGGCCGTCATAAACAAAGCAACTAACAACAAGTGTTGGGGAGGTTGTGGAGAAAAGGGGACTCTAGTTCATTGTAGGTGGGATTGCAGACTGGTCCAACCACTATGGAAAACAGTATGGAATTTTCTAAGAAAACTAAAAATAGACCTGCCTTTTGACCCAGCAATTCCACTGCTAGGATTATAGCCTAAGAACCCTAAAACACCAATCTAAAAGAACCTATGCACCACAATGTTCATAGCAGCACAATTTACAATATAAATGTCATATATACATGACATTTTTCGTGTCATGTGCTGAAAGCAACCTAGGATCCATTCATCAATAAATGAATGGATCCAAAAACTATGGTACATTTGTACAATGGAATTCTATGCAGCAGAAAGAAAGAAAGAGCTCCTACCCTTTGCAACAACATGGATGGAACTGGAAAGCATTATGCTGAGTGAAATAAGCCAGGCAGTGAAAGACAAATACCATATGATCTCACCTTTAACAGGAACCTAAACAACAAAATAAACAAGCAAGCAAAATATAACCAAAGACACTGAAATAGAGAACAGGCTGACAGGACCAGAGGGGAGAGGGGAGGGAATCTCAGGAGAGAAGGGGAAGAAGGGTTTACAGGAAAAAGTATAAAGGACACATTGACAAAAACTATGGGGGTGGAAATGGGAGGGAGGTGGGGAGCATTGAGGGAGGTGAGCTGGGATGGGAATAAAAGACAAAAAAACTGTACTCAAACAACAATTAAAATAAATAAATTTAAAAAAATTGACAAGTACTATAACAAAGTTATACACAGGGAGTTAAAGAAGCTTCTAGTGAGGAGATGACTAACATTTTAATGATCTTCAAAGATGAACAGTATTTGTCAAGTGTAAGGACAGGCAGCAGCGTTGCGGACAGATGGAACTGCCTGAAGTCACACCTGGAGACCTTGGAGCACGGTGGCATGGTAGGGATTTTGAAATGCAGAAATGAAAAGGATGGAATGAGTGTAAGGAAAAATGAAACACTATGGAAGAAGCAAAAGAAACCACTAGTAATCTTTTTTAATGGTGATTGTCTGAATCTACAGACCTAAGTATCATTGTCTTTGTTTAGGCTATTCTACAACTCTGCAGAGATTGAAGTTAACTTGTAGAAAACTTATCTCAATGCAAAGAATTCTTATCTATAAACATGCATGTAAAGTCTGTCGTAAGCAAAAACAAACCTCCCCTTCTCCCCAAAGCCAGTCTCCTATTGCCTTCAAATTCATTTTAATGTTTGTAATCCCTTAGTGTGGCTGGTTTTTTTGGTATTTATTTCAACTAGCTATAATATTTTTACTAGTGCCTCCTTTTAATTAATAAGTTAAATAAATTTTTGGACACATGTTTATTTGATATTTGCATGAGAATCATGATTTTACCTCTTTTTGAAAAGAGGAGGATTGGTTCGAATTATGCAAGTTTGCTTGTGATGCTAAGGACTTGGGCTTTATTCTGTAGATGTGAATGGCCAGCGAGGAATTTTAGGAATAGGGTGACATGTGCATTTTGGAAAAGTCACTGGCTGCACTGCAGAGGAACAGCTGGAGAGGGAAGAGGCTTGAGTTGAGAAAACCAATTAGGAAGTGATTGCAATAGATCAGACCAATATTCAGATAATAGCAGTGGCTACGGAGCAGAGGCATTGCATGGCGAATTATATTAATGTATAATTGACACTGTGAAAATTAGAGTCTTTAATAACAAATGTGGCTAATAGCTGGAACAAATTAAGAACTCTTAAGTGTTAGAGATTTACCTGCTGTAGATCTGTTAGTAGGTTTCTCAAAACCCTTCGAGTCATGCGTGCCCCAGAATCATAACCTCCCCTGTTATTTTCCGCATAGAGCTGAAAAAGAGCTAGACACATAAGGGAGAAAAGAAATCTTTAAATTAAATTCTTACAATGTACCTTTGAGGAGGATAGGCTTTGAATTCTAAACAGCGTATTTGTGGGTATAAAGGAAAGGAAACAGAATGTTCTCCACTTAATTCTTTGCTTTCTATTGTGAAGGATTTCCAAAATAGATAATTTGATAGCTACGGAAGACCCAATTCCCATTTCAGCCCCCTGATAATTCAGCACATTGGTAATGAAGACCAAGAGGTTTGTAAACAGCAATGGAAGGAGAGTCCCAGCCTGTAGAGGAATAATAACCACTGGAGCCTAAACAATCCTTACACTGGATAACCACGTTGTGAATAAGAAGAAAGCATAACTCAACATCTTGGAAAATTCCAAGTCACGCTGAGTATATGCTGAATAAGAGCCACATGGCTGGGATATAGGGCTGAGTGAGGAAGATAATGCATTAGAGATTTAGAAGCCATTGCATTTCTCAAAACTCCTGCATCTCTTACCTCTGTATTTTGTAAGAGGGCTGTCCCCTGAGAGAGCAATCAGGGCAGCGGCCGCAGGTGCGAGCTTGAGAAAACCCGTTCCCATGCTACATGGCAACAAAGCACAGAGACAGGAATGGGAAAGGCAGGGTTACTCTTGGTGAAGTGGTTCTAAAAAGCATAACTGTTGATGGACATTTCTGACATGGTGTTACAAGTTCAAGCTTCTTGTGGTCTGTTTTCCTCTCTCTAGGATTTGACAGGACTAATAACTGCATTAAAATATTTCATCACTCATTTATGTGTGCAGCTCATATTTGTTAGGTGCCTTCTCTCTGCTAAGCACTGTGCTAGGCACTGGGGACAGAGGGCTCCACCCAGTCTTCATAGAGTGGGTGGTCTCACTTCCTTAGGACTCACATGCCTGGAAAACAAACAACAGAGACAAGGACCAAAAGGCATGCAAAAGGGACAAACGCTTATACATGAAGAAATCACAGGCCCTCGGTTGGAGCCTCGCCACCCTTTGCCCACTGGTTGTGCAGGTTTCACCCCTACAAAACAATGTATTAAAAGCGAGGGTATTTCGAGGCCAGGCACTGATATCAGGCATGACCGTCAAAAGCTTAATGTTTAAGGAGGCTAAAGTCATCAAAAGATAACGTGGGAACATAGTCATATGTTATCTGTGCAGTTAAAAAAACAAACAATAAACTAGAAAAGGAAATACTGCAAGGAATTTGTCAGTTAAACTATGCTTGCCTCTGCGAGGCAGGCTTTTAGGTGACATTCCTTCTTCTGTACTCTTTCCTGTACTTTTCAAATGTATTATATTCACTATGAATTTTTAAAAGCCCATTCTAGAGAATGAGGCTGGCTGGGTCAAGGCACATGAGGTAAACAGAATGAAAGGAGACAGAAGACTGGTAAGCCCCAGAGCCAGCAAGACACCCTGAGAAACGCACACACATGCACGCACACGCTCACGCACGCACGCACGCACCATTGACTCCAGGGCACGCACAATCAAGCCTTTGACATGGTCTAAACCAGTTTGTAGGTGTGATGAACTGAATGTTTGCTGCCTTCCAATTCTTATGTTGAAATCGTAACCCTCAGTGTGATGGAATTCGGAGGCGGGACATTGGGCGGTAATTAGATCACAAGGACAGCATCCTCATGAGTTAGGTTACGGATCTCATAAAAGGAACCTCACAGCGCCTTTCACCATTTGAGGACACAGAAGTAGGTGGTCTTCTATGATACAGGAAGCAGGTCCTTGCCGGGCACTGGCCAGCACCTTGGCCTTGGACTTCCCAGCCTTGGAAACGGTGGGAAATAAATGTTTGTTGTTCAAGCCACCTAGTCTAGGTAATTTATGTTGTAGTAGCTCAAACAGACTAAGACAACAGGTTACCCATCCACTCATAGGTCATTCAAACTTCACATATGAAACAAAACAAAACAAAACAAAGTGAATAATTGGTTACAAAGAAATAAGCAAGGAAATAAGCTACTAGGGACTCAAGAGAGAAGTGTACATTTTCTCAACCATAGATGTATAATTGCCATAGCTAAAGGTGTGTGTGGTCTCTACTGGAAATGAGTTTGTACAGAAAAAAGTAATGTGAAACTTTTTTCCGTTTTTGCAATCCATGAGTCCTTTATATTAGTGAAGCTAATAAACATATCTTCTTCACTCCCCTCCTGAATGAATAATGCATTTGTGGAAAACAAAGAAGCCACCTTATATATCCAACCGTAAGCAGTCGTTACACAACACCAAATGGTCAATGACTGGTGGCAACAAAACACTGCCACGGGGGTTGTAGTGCCCCCTCTATGGCCTCACCTGTCATATATCATCGTGAGAAGGCTCAGAGTGAGTTCCGAGGCTCTGGGGTGCACCTGTCCTGGCGCTTCCACCCTGACTCCCTGGAATAGCTCCTGGATGGCCTGGGAAAGATGCTTTACGGAGAGGGGGCTCTCTTTTGCTTCCCAGAAACTCTGACGCAGTAGGACGTGCTGAACCTGAGAGCTGTCAATCAAGTCCACTGTAGGAAGCAAGTGAAGAAGAGATGAGTCTGATTTTCTGCTGGGAACAAAAGGCTTCAAATAAAACAAGTATTTTAAGTTTAATAAGTCTTTTTTCATGGCAGACATTTCTTTCAAAGAAAATTAGATATGACCTCTGTTTGGATACATATATCTTGTGTATAATTCAGATGTTACTATTCTGGCAGCCGATTTGATTCTGGAAAAGCGCAGCTGTTAGTAAAACATAGTTGTAATGTTATTTTCAGTATAACCTCTAGGATGTTGTTTTATAGAATGAAATTGAAAGGAGAAAAAGTGAAAAATAGCCTTGCAAGGAATTGAAGGCACTCTGGTGAAAGGTTGGGGAGAACATTTTTATATTCTTTAAGTTGATTGAGCAAATTTACTGTTCATGTTCAAATATTGCTTTTCCTGTCTGCAGCCTGGCTACAGAAGCAATACTGTGTGTCAAAATGCAATTGTCTTAGTTAAAAAACCCAGTGATCTCTCTACAAGAGCAGTTACTGAATTTAATATCAGGCTCTCTAGGTCCCACCTTTGCCTTAGTAATATTTCTTTTTTCGACCTTGGTTCCATTAGTATTATTTTCTGAGGAAGGCACTAAATAAAACCAAAGTTGCTTACAAAAAAATAATGGCTTATTTCCTATCTGTTTTTTACCACTTACTAAACATTTTACAAGGCAATGAATATGAGGAAGAATGAAATAGAACTCACCCTATGGCTTCTTACAGACGGAGGATGACAGACAAAATTAATAAACACCCAGTTGTGTCGTGTGAATGATGGGATGTCAACGGCACCAGGAGCTGCTGGCATTTAAAACGCTTCAGCCTGGGCAACGATGAAACCCTGTACTTCTCTCTACTTCATAAATCAATCTCGCAGATAAGAAATCTAGCAAGTATAATACAAATTTTTATTTGTTCTCTGATACTGCTTTTAAGGGGAGAGTCTAAAGAAGTGAGGAGTAGGTTCCGGGATGTGACTTTAATAAAAACCTGGCTGCAGGTGGCGGAGGCTGCCGGGTCTTTTATCGTTCCTCAATCGCAAAATCTATCATCTTGGCCTGGCATGCTGCACTCAGGGCATTCGTGACTTCTGCTGAGAGTTCTGTATTACAGCAAAGCAGATAATACTGGTATCCATTAATCTCACCACAAGATTTATGCGGCGATGCTCACCAGATCCTGCTGCCTGAGACTCACAGTATGCTTTACCTCTGCCTATGGGACTTTTTGGTTTCAAATTTTTATTTGGATGGCTTTTCTGGGTAGAACTTTGCAACTACTAGTTTTATCTCTTATTCATATATCCCATGAGTATTATTTATATTCACTTTTTCTGATGCCAGGGTTAATAAAAAATACAAGAAGGTACACCCTCAGGTAACATTGTTTGTTTGCACCCAGGCCGAGTGAGAGGCTTATGTAAACATTCGCTGCTCACTTCAATGGGAGAAATTCTCCAGGAAAACAGCATAACTGAGGGTGGGTAGTTTAGTGTGCCTACTTGGCCTTTTGTTGATCCCCGGAATAACAGTTACAAGTCAGTTTATTTGTCTATATTAGTAATCTTTTAAAGTTTTTTTTTTAAGTCAAGAATTCCCGCTTCAGAAGACAAGGCAGCATGGAGAACGGAGAAACACAGAGTTGTTCTGGGTGAGGAGAGGGTTTTTGAGTTCTCTGGTCTTGCCTCTTCTTCCTTTGCCACGTTTTGTGTCCCACATCACACACGCACACACATGAGCACAGTTCAAAATTCCTTGGTCTATCTCACTGACTAGCAGAAAGCAAAATATAAAAGAATTAACCTTTACGAAAAATGTTATGTATATATAACACAGGTTTTTTCTTGTCTGATATGATAAGTCATTTCACATTAAGTGATTTTTTGAAAGTATAATACAGACATTAGAAATCAATAATTGTAAATATGCAGAATGCCTGTCGTTTTCTGCAGCCAGGACCCAATTTATTTCATGCTAGAAAAATTTGACAGGGTAAATGTTATAGCGTTTATTTTGCTTAGATAACAGTATAGGAAAAGAAAACTAGAGCTTTCAATTCAATATAAATTTAACACAAAAGAGCAGTTTGCAGGGAATTCTCAACATAGTTTTAAAACTTATGGCCCAAGGATTATTCATCTGAACCTACTTCTGCGTGTTCAGAGAGATAAGAAGTACAATTTAAAAATGAAAACCTGGTACGGTAGAGGAAATTTAAAGTTTTTAAACTGAAATCTACAAGTACAGATTCTAAACTCACTTTGTAATTTTATTTTGCTTTGTGTCCTGAAAAGGAAACTTTTTTTTACAGAAACCAAATAGAAAAAAATTTTAAATCTTCATCCAAAAATGATTCTCTATTTCAGTCAATGAAGCTGCCCTTAGGTTGACCGCACACAGCATTCCCCTCCCCCACCCTCATACCCACCTTTGTCTTCTGTTACAAATGGAGGAAACGAGCAAATCCACCTCTGGAGTCTGACACTCACTCACTTACATGAGTTTTTGTTTTCTTTGTGCTTTTCCACCGCACTCAGGATCAGATTATTTCAAGTGTTTCAGAGAGTTCTACTTACATTGACACATGGTTTGCACAGACCGTAATTTGAAGGCTGTTCTATAAATGGAATTCTCAGTACTGTTAAGAGCATCTGCAAAAATAACATGGAATAATGGATAAATGACCGTCTCCTTAGATAAACCCCACATACTGGAAGGGAGTAGAGGTCGTGTAGCTGCACTTGATTTTGCAGGTGTGGAAATGAGTGTCTGGATAGAGTTCTCTTTTCTTTCTGGGAACAAATGGTAATGCTCTGAATCAGGGTGTCCAACCTGCGGCCTGTAGGCAGCTTGCCGCTCAGGGTGGCTGGGAATGCGGCCCAACAAGAAATTGTAAACTTACTTAAAACATTATGAGGGTTTTTTGTGATTGCGTGTCTTGGTGTATTTAATGTGTGGCCCAAGACAACCCTTCTTCCTGTGTGGCTCACAGGTGCCAAAAGGTTGGACGCCCTTGGCAGAATCTTAGGTTGCAGGGGACACTGGACACACCCTCTGAGTCCACCAAACTAAGGAACCCACCGAAAAGTTAGAATCCGTCCACAAATTTGCCCACTTTTTTATACAAAAATAAAACAGCCTTATTAAAGAAACAATAAAAAACTCAGAATATAAGCTCAATTTTGTTAATATATGCTAGTCATCTATACACACATATATTTGTATGTATATAAAAAGCAACTCAAGAGCTATCCATCTATTCATTCACTCAGCAGATATTTATCGGGCTTTTGCAATATGGCCCTGGCATGATCCCTGGCCCTTGAAATATAGCAGTTAACAAAACAGAGAGGAATCCCCGCCCCGGGGCGCTGGACTTCTGGTGGCGTTTGCCAAGCTGGTAAGAGTGGGGATTCCAAGTGCTTACATTCTTAGTGTTCATAGTGATTTTTTCTACTTGTTGATATTACCGACATGTTTAACACAGAGCATATGTTATTTTTATAATCAAGAAAGAATTATTAACATTTCTTCTTTTGAGGGCTTCTACTGCCGACATCACTGCAACAATGGCTAACATTTCTGAGCACTTACCAGGCACTGAGTGCCGACTTGCCCATTTCACAGTGTGAGGAAAAGAGAAAGCTCTGGAGCCACACCCCGTTCCTTTTTCTTTTGGAGAAATTAGTTTACTTTTCATTGATTTCAGAGGGATGGAAGGAGAGAAACATTGATTTGTTGCTTCACTTATTTATGCATTCATCGGTTGATTCTTGTGTGTGCTCTGACTGGGGATTGAACCTGCAACCTTGGTGTATCAGGATAATGCTCTACCCAACTGAGCTACCCAGCCAGGGCTTAATTTACTTTTATGATCTTCAGTCTCTTTATCAGATAAATAGGAGTTATAATACATTCTTCAAGGGTATTTTCACGATTCAAAAAAGAAAATGTAGACAATATACTTACTAAATTATTTCTCTTCCCTGAATTTCCCACAATTTAAATTTGTTTCATTGATCCTCCAAATTTGATTTTAATTTAGTTTAAGAGATTTGTCACAATCTCACAGAAGAGTTTTTCATTGACTAAGATGGAAATGATTAGTCTTCCTATCCAGAAAAAGTAAAATTCAAAAGAATGCCATGGACCTTGGAGCTCACATGACTTTCATTATCTAGGCTTAAAATTCTCAGAACTGCAGGTTTAGGAAATATCTCTTGAGTTCCTACAATACCAGGCATTGCTTCTAGAGAGGTTTGTATTGAAGTCATCATAAAGTAGCTTTTCATATGTGTTAATTTATTCAGTAATTACACATACACACACCCCACCCAAGACTTGAGTGCACATTAGGTTCCAGGAACTGTGCTGGGTCCTGAGGACACGAAGGTGAGTCAGGAGTTTCTCAGTGTCGAGGGAGAGACAAGCTCCCTGGGCTAAACACGGGGGGCTGCATACTGAAGATTTCCCAGGGGAGATGAAGTAGGAGCCGGCTCTTGAAGGAGAAGTGGGAAACTTTCAGGGGATTAAGTGGAATGAAAGGTTTGGGGAAATAAGGTCATCAGTGTAGGGAAGAGCATGTTCAACGGCACAGGGTATGAGGGCTATAGAGGTCAGTTTGCTGGAATGTGTAAGAGACTCTGGGGAGAGAGGACAGAAGGTAAGTTGGTCTGAGTTCAGAGAGCATCTTGCCCCAACTTTTGATTATGCATCTGGAGGTTAGGGTCATTCCTGGGGATGGGATAGAGATTTGGTCATTAGTGTTGGATTTGGGCCAAACCATATCCATCTATTAGATTGTCTAAGTACAATGCTGTAGGTGAAGAGAAAATTGGGCTAAGTGACAGAACTTTTGAAGAACATAATATTTAAGTAACAGAGGAGGAAGAGAAACTTAAGAGAAAGAAGGAGAATAGAAAGCCAAAGAAACCAGAGATGCCAAATGGTAAAAAGCCCAAGGAAGGTGAGTTTCAGAAGGTCAAGACAAGCCAATACTTCAGTATCTGAAAGCCACAAGGAGATCAACTATGGGCTAAATATAGTCTTTACTTTTTTTATGATTAACTTGTTTATTAAAGGCTTTGCAAAAGCAATTTTAGTGTGGTCACGAAGGTCAAAACCAAACTACACAGGATCAACCAATAAATGTAAGGGGAAGAAAAACATAGAAGAGGACACTCTCAAGATCTCTAATCGGAAGAGCAGACGAGAGAGCCGTAAATAGAACAACACATAAAATCAAAATTCTTTTTCAAAGAAAGAGAGATTCCAGAATGTATGTATGGGTCAGGGAGGAAGAGCCAGGAGAAAGAATAGGCTGAGGATGCGAGAAGTGGGGATCTAGGTAGTACTGGGTATAATAAAGTCCTTTTCATTGGGAACCTGTTCCTTTAGCCACCCAGCATCCATTCACCTTTCTTCTGGTGAACCACCTCTCCCCAATCTTAGTCCGTGGACTTCTAGTAGTGTTAACTCCATCTCTCCAATTTCCATTGAGGATGCGTGGCCCAGGCCTAGCCAATCAGTGAGAGCGTTATCTCCCTCCCTAGACATGGGCACAGAACCAAGGTCAAGCAAAGAATACACCGATGAAACTTGAATCAGGCACTCTTTGTTCAGTTATCAGGGCAGAAAACTTATTTTTTCCCGTTGACTTAAACTCGGAACCATAGATGAGAGCAGCAATTCCTGTCTAGTCAGGGCGTGTAGCTTAAGAATGAAAGCAGCATCCAAAGGGGAGCAGAGATAAACTTGGAGATGTAAAGGAACCACACCTTAGTTACATTATCTGGGCCAAGGGCGAGCTAGTCTTCCTTTGGGTAATTAATAATATAAGATAATATAGGCCCTTTGAGTTGCTTTTTGAGTTGCTTGCTATCACAAGCAACTGAAGAATTGCTAACTGGTGCGATCCCTGGGGTAGAGAGAATGGATGGGGAAGATGCGCAGGTGAAGGAATTAGCTTTGGCAAGCAGCCCATCCCTGCCAGAAAGAATAAAAGGACGGGAGAGCGGGTGTGGGGAAGAGGGCTTGTCTGAAGCCTTCTGTTTTCTGCATGAAGCTGGGGCCAAGCTCACACAGAGTGAGTAGTGAGAGGTGGTAGAGTAGACTACTGAAGCAAGGATGAAGATCTGAAATTGTTACAACAGGAAGTGAGAGAAGGGACCAGTCACAAACTGCGGAAAGAGCTGCCGAGCAACTTTGCATCTCCAGTATATCTTGTGATAACAAATCTCAATTAAATAAGAGTTTATTTGCCTAACGCTTACTTGGAGGCAAGGTTTTACACCCAAGCAAGTTTTAAGCCCAGGACTTACTTGTATTTATGCTGCAGGAAAGATGTCTTGAAGAAAATAAAACTATTTTCAAGTTTAGTGTCATCTGATTACTCATAAAACTCAAAACATTGGGAGTGAGTAGTATGTGTGCTCCAGAAGTATTTGTGATGAGAAACACAGTCAGCTCTTTAGCCTTTGCTAAGCAGGCCCTGAGAACAATGAATAATAGACTACCCTGTGGATTTTATTGGTTTGAACATGTGCAGCAGGATAACTTATGGCACATTACTGACTTCCTTGTTCTTGCAGCAGTGGGAGAATTGAAAGAATGAAAAGGCAGTGTTTTGATATCCATTCCCGTGTGTGTTCCAAGATCTACGTTTCTTTTACACCCTTCAGATATTTAGCAGCTTCTCTGTGTCTGAGGGGCCACCTGACACCAACGCTACTTAGGCCTCCACATAAAAAGCCGACAAATAATCAATGCCACCCATGGAAATGGGAGCGTTGGAATCAGCACTGCTAGAATTTCGTGGACTAAATTCGGGGGGAAGTTGTTCTTCTGAAGCAACATGGAGGCACTGGTTCATCAGAAGGAAGGTGAACGGTGCTGGGTGGCCAGAGTAACAGCTTCCCGCTGAGAGGGTCTGTGGCACCTCGGGTACCACCTGGATCCCCCACTTCCTGAATCCTCTGCCTCATCGAATCTCCTGGCTCCTCGTCCCTGGCCCATGTGTACATGCCGGACTCTCCCTTGCCTTTGACAATCGCTTTGATTTCAGCGTTGTTCCAGCTGTGGATCTGTCTGTTTCCTGGAGGCAGAGAGAGGCCGATGCTGGGATGGGATGTTGGGAGAGGTCTGTCTGGAGACGGGGTGTTGGGGCTGTTCCCAGGGCTGCCCTTCCTGGCAGTTTCCTGAGTGGAGAGAATGACTGCACGTTGTAACTTTGGAGACCAGACACGAGCCTTGGCAAGGATTTCCGTGCCCAGTCTTGAGAGGGAGCCCCACGTCTTCAAGTGGCCCCCACAGCCAAAGACACAGAGCCTGGCAAGGGGTGGTCACAATGACATTTTAAACCAGATGTTCAGGATAAAAACCGTAGAGGTTTCTGTCTGTCTCAGAGGGATGGCTTCTTCTCAGACTGAACTCATTGTAAATTTCATACCAAGCAGTGATGTGATAAGTATTTTTGGTTTGGAAAGGAATGCTTCTTGGCCTCGAATATTGTGGGGTGAAGTCCTAACTGCTGAGTGCCAGGTGCTATGCTAACTCCAGGTTGGATGGCAGCGCTGAACCAACCAGCGCTGGATGTGGGCCCCTCCTGGAGGAGTCGGACCACAGCAGAGGCCTCTCCCTGAACAAGTACCCATTCCAGGACCAACGTATGACTCTACAGTGAAGCATCCACCTCAAGTGAATGTGGGCTTTGCATACAAATGCCACCAGACAAGAAATCTTGTTTAAAACCTCCACATGTTTTTCTTTTTTGAACAAGTACATCAAAAACCCTACAATTTGTCCTAAATCTTTTGTTATTGAGTATCTCCTTATTTGTAAAAAAAATAATCCTTCTCAGATAAGAGTTCAAAGTTAGGGTATGGGAGAAGCCAGAGACACCTCTGCCCGATGCCCTGAGCAAATAAAATTGAGAATAAGGATACTAGTCTGGTAACAATTCACAGAAGTGTAATGCCCATTCCTTTTCTTTCTTCTGGAAATCGGCCCATTTCTGTGCCCTGGTTCCTCTCAGATGTATCAAATGAACACAGAGAATCAGCAAACTGGGGACTCGGCAGGTTCCCAGCTGCTGCCCTACCACCTGGCCTGTCACCATCTTGTCAAATTATGTTTGCAGCGTCATCTGAGGAACTTGTGCAGCAGAACACGGCAAGCTGTGATGCAGGGCAGCATGCAAAATGAGTGTGCGTCCCAGGCAATTCACCCCCAACCCTGCTTCCTCAAGGTCCTTTTTTATTTTTCCTGCTGGTGGGACATAATGCAAGAAAGGAAGAAATTGCAGGCTGTAACAGGCCCAAAGCTATGAACAAAGAAGCTTTAGATGTGTAAAGAAATAATAACACACGCAACATCTGGTCTTGTTCCTGGGAGCATTTTGACTAGGAAACATGTTTCTCTTTAAATGACTCTTAATTTTGTTTTAGCCAAATCCATGTGAGTCATTTTCTACAGATATGAAGAATGTAATAAAATCTCTTTCAACTGTCCACCATCTAGTTTGATGACCCAGAAATAGATGTTTTAGGCCATTGGTTGTCAAAGTGTGGTGTGAAGGCAAGGGCTTTGGTGTTGCTTGTGAACTTGGTAGAAATGCACAGTCTGGGGCCCTGCCCTTGGCCAGCAGAGCCACAAACACTGGAGGTGAAGCCTGGCACTTTAACAAAGTCTGCAGGTGATTCTGACTCACACTAAATTTGAAAGCCATACCTTTAGGGAGAGAAAATTGGGCTTCAACTGTGTTATCTAGTGTCGTGTGCTAAGGTTATTAATAGGAGGTTCCAAATTTGGGAAACCCAAACATTATGAATTACTCATAATGTTTTAGATCAATAACTTGAGTTGTTACAGAGTTTTATATAGAACAAGTACAGTTAACAATCTAGATTTTAGCTAGGGGAATAAGGCTGCAACTAGATCCAGCAATAAAAATGGCATAGACCAGTTCTGGGCCCACACTGGTACTCAGATGTGTCAGAAGAAAGGGAAATTGGTTCCCTCACACCCATTTATTAAATACTCATATAACAACTGCTGTGAGATCTCTCTTCCAACTTTGGGCCCACATTTACTGTGAACTTCACCCCTGACATTCAACTATCTACAGTGATGTCATTTTAGCAGTAAATTATGAAAATAATTTAAAAGTAAGCTACTTCTTGTAATTAAAATGTAATTAATATTGAGACCAAATCTTCTGCTAAATTATTCTGGTGCTTTGGAGACCATGGACCAAATACTCTTACATAAATTTCTGTTTAGAAGAAAAAGTCTTTTAAATCACCCAATAGGCTTTTTTTGTTTTTTTTGGCCAAAAGTTCACCAAATATCCACTCTGCTTCAATTCAGAAGTTTGAAAAATACAACACATGTACCTAAGTTTTTGCTTACAAACTGTGCTCAGAAACTTGACAAAAATACCCACCTTGTTTGTCTGGGTCCATTTCAGGAATTTCCTGGCAGGGCAGATGGCAAGACGGTCCTCCTGGCAGAAAATGAACCGGTCTCTTAAGCAGAAAGTTTTACAGCAGAAGAAAGGGAGTGGGGGACCAAAAGGCAACTAAATGTCATTTCACCCGTGGAGCAAGAATGTGAGGTGTTTGGGGAGACTCTGCAGGCTCTTGGGAGGGTAAAATGAAAGAACGTAGGGGTAGAAGCTTTTTACACTTCTGGGAATTTAGATCTGTATCTCCGAAACAGAGACTGTCTCCTGAAACTAAAACCATGACTGCTTAGAACTTTTGAGGCATTATAATTTTAAGAGTGAACTGGATTCTTATTTCAAGAAAATGTAATTTTGCTTGAATTTTAAAAGACAAAATTTGAATCTCTCAATGCTTTAATTTTTTTCAGTGCTTAAATTTCTAACACCACTATGCTAAACAATTCTACATATTAAATTTCTGACAAATACTATTCCATTTAAACACCTCATTACACACAAATTTGTATATAGAATTCATTTAATATTTATTTTGAAAAGAGTAATACATTAGCTACCTGTCATTTCACATTGCAACTATTGTTCAAACTCAATATATATACATATATGTTTGCTTTTAACAAAAATGGGTTATGCTGTAAGAAAACATTACATAGTTCTTAGAAAAACACATTTCTTATCATATGCAGTTGAAAACTGTTTTTAAAAAGTAACATGATAATTAAATTTAAATAGTACTCTCTTCCCTTCTAATGAATAAATTAAGGACAAATTATTGGGCAGGTAAGTAGTATTTTACAAAAAAGAGAAGCTAATGGTGAAACTGGTTACATTAGTTCTTTAAAATCATGGTAGTAATAATGGTTGCAGATTTGCCAGCACTAGGAAGGTTTCAAATATACTGAGGATTTGTTTTGAAAGTCGTATTCAGTGAAATCAGGGAAGAACTGTGGGTGTACAAACGCTCCCCCAGATCTTCCCAAAGTCCCTGGGCAGGAGCAGAGGGTCCGGCCTCTTGCCCCATCAGCAGTACAGCAGGAGACACGACTGTGGCCTCCACCGGGGGCCTTACCTTTCTTAGTTTCCTTGGAGAAGCATTTAGGCAAACCTTCTGCATAAGTTACTCAGCAGTTTTGGAAGAGGTAGAGCTGAGTCACAGCAGATTTCCAGATGTGGCATTCCTAAGGAGCGTGGGTGTCTTGTCCTACTGCCCAGCCACTGCACGCAAAGCTGCACCGTTTTTAAGGGCTCACCGAGTGCATTCATTAGTAATAAAGATCTTGAATAATGTATGGCTACTCCAACCTCTCTGTTGCAAGGGGCTATTTCCGTATTAATTTCAAGTGCAGGCGAGGCACGTAAAACGTCTTCTCGGAACTCTGAAGAGCAGCAGTGAGCGTGGAGGTGAGCAGACGGCCAGAGGAGCCCTGCGTGCCAGGTAGCAGCCACCTTCCTGACCTTCCAGGCAAGCACTCAGACTGGCATCGAATTTATTTGATTAATTCTTTTACAAATACAGAGGTAGGGACACATATTTTTAAAAGCACCAAATAAGCTTTGCGCAGTGGCAGTATCGTAGCCAATGAGGTTTATCCGAGGCGCGATTATTGCTAATAAAAGCACCAAATATCATGCAAAATTATTATCCTTCAAGAGGATAATAATAATTTTCTACAAAGGCACACTTCCTCTTAAATTTTGAGTGTAATTTGATAATATGCTTTTAGAGAAACTTGGATTAAAAATAAGGACATTCTAATCCTAATAGGGTTAAAAAAGAAAAACTTGCCCCATGAACCAAATGTATCAGAACTCCAACAATAAGGTGTTTAGGCTGCCAGGGAGGTAGGGAGTCGATTTTAATAGAAGTTAGAGCGCAAAGCCCGGGCGTGAGCAGTGCGGAGAGCCGGAAAGTCTGGGAGGCTGCGGTCCCGGGGTGGGGGCGGGGCAGGAACACAATTGTCATAGACGGTCACCAATCCACATGCCCTATACCAAAACTCTACTTTGAAAAGTGAGTACAACATCCAAACATGGGCAATCCGTTCCTCACTTTTGAAGAGTATTGGCATCACAGTATTGGTATCTTAGAAACCGAAACTTGGGACTTAAAAAAAATTGATTAGTAATGGGGCAAAAATTGGGGTCAAGTGGACGGGGCAAAACAATCCATTGTTTTTCTCTGTATAAATCTATTGATTTTTCTGGGAGTGGATAAAGCAATGTAGGAAGAGAGCAAGACTGTCTCCCATGGAACGTATGCCCGAGTGCTGCAGCTCAAAGTTGAAATCGAATTTAGAAGTTTTATATTCCGTCACATCCACACCAGACGGAGCGGAGGTGCTGGCAACAGAGGGTGATCAGAATGTGCTCCTGAATGCTGCTGTGTGCAGAGGCGAGCATATTTTAGGGATTGATTAATTATGTGGATCAAGAATCCCGATACTAAAAATAATAGAACAATTATAATAATAATTATGTGCATATGGTCTCTCTCTCTCTCTCTCTCTCTCTCTCTCTCTCTTGCCACTCGCCCCCCAGCAAATATCTTATTGTAGTTTACTCTCTACTCATCTTTTTACTTAAAGGAAGTACTTGACAGCTTCTCTGTGGCCCATCCACATCACTACTCCTGCAATAATTTGGGGCATTGTTAAGTAAAATGAGGGTTACTTGAACACAAGCACTGTGACACTTCCACAGCTGATCTGATAAATGAGAAACTGCTAAGTGACCAAGGGTAGGGGGTGGAGGGGCAGTGTGCATACAGGGTGAAGACCGTGGAAAACCGAATAATTTATGTCCTCAGGGGACAGAGCAGGACGGTTTGAGATTTCATCATGCTTCTCAGAACAGCATGCAATTTAAAGCTCAGGCTCTATGGTGTGTTTCTGGAGTTTTTTCTTTTAATACTTTCGGATTGCGTCAACCACAGGTAACTGAAACTTTGGAAAACTAAACTGGATGCGGGGGACGACTGCTCTGTCCTCCACGTGTAATTCTGTATTTTATATTAACCTGGAACAAAGGTGTGGTAGTAGGTATAGTGATTAAATCAGTTTGCTCTGTTCTCCAGCAGGGAGTGTTTGCTAGAGCAATCCGATCATCCCGTAGAGGTTCAAAGGTATGGCAGTTTTTATACATCCTGAAAAGTACAGCCCGCTGCGGATGGGCTCACTGTTTCCCACAGTCCCTACAGAGAAGAGCGTCTGCCCGCGTCTCTCTTCCTAGATGTTCGCCTACTGCAGAGGCAGCTGCTTACCTGATTGGTCAGAGTTTGACATCTACTGTGAAGAATATCTCTAAGCAGCGAAGCCACTGCCTTGAAAGGTGATGTGTGTTCATGGCTGTGTTCTCTGTTCCAGTTTTTTTCACCTGGGTCCTGCTGACAAGTGATTGGCCTGCCTCATTCACGGGGAACAGAACCGGGCGCTCCACTGCGATTTCTCCGTCTGAGTCACGTTTTCCCGTCTAGCTCAATGCTACAACAGCCCCAAGAAGCCCTGCTGATTGAGGGGCGACCACCATATGCCCCGCTGTGCACAGAGCACCAGGTGTCTTCCTGCCCCGTTCTTGTGGTCACACTCCTTTGGTTGAGGTCCCCACAGGTGAGGCAGGGGAAATAGTAGGATTAGGGCCCAAAACCTCACCCAAAGTCCTCAACACAGACAGTCGTTAAGATTTCTTCACAATAACATTGAATGAAAAGAAGCAAATGTTAGTCATGGTTTTGAATCGTGGTAGTCAAAAGCAATGCAGCAGCATTTGAAATTTCACTGAATTTTCAGAAAGTAAGTTGTATCTTAAGAACTATTTAAAACTACAGGGAAAGCACAGATATCAGCTGTTTTTAACGTAACTCCTGGGCTTTCAAAAGTTCCTAATTGACATTTGTAAAGTGTCCCGTTAAGTTGAAAATATTGAACATATTGGTTTGACTACTGCTGCTTTAAATAAAAAAGACTGTACTTTTTCCTTAAACCATGTAATGATATGGTAAAAATAGTGGGCTTTTCTTTTAAAATTCAGGCCACATCTGGTGTCACGAAACAGAAACCAATTCAACCTATGCTAAAGTGAAACTGTGATTTATTATGAAGATAACTAAACCAGGGAAATCCAAGGAAAGACAACACACCCTGGGTCTTACCCAGGTGGCGAACCCGACCAGCTCGCAGGGCTGAACAGGCCGAACACTGTGGCCTTCAGTTCACATCACCCTCACTCACACTCCAACTTACCCATTTTTCTCAGTTCAGTTTTTCTTTAAGAGCAAGAGAAAATCTGATTGGTTCTCCTTGAGTGAGGTGTGTCTATTTGGGCCTAATCAGTTGAGGCGAACATGGTAAGAAAATCTGAGCAAAGGTGGCCACCTAGGCCCATGTCTTGGGTCCAGCCTTCAGGAGGAAGCAGTTCTCTCTGAAGGATGAACAGGCAAGGGCATAACGAGGGACAAATTATTTTATTGTAGTTCAAAAAACAATGGACACCAAACTATTTGTGAGAAATTAATAGTAAACGAACCTGTGAGTGGATTGGCAAATTGAACTTTGACCTTTGTGTGTGTGTACTGTCAAAATGTTATTTAATTGTTGAGCACAATATTACCTAACACTAAAGTAAATCTTCCAAATTATTCTTCCCTAAGCACAGACATCATGGGTCTGTGTGTATTTATGATGACACCAAATACTTCCACAGTTGGCCTAATTTGATCTATTACTGTTTCGAAGTTCTGCCTTCATAGTCTGTAAAAGGAAGAAAAAAGGAAAACATGTAACAATTTAAAAAATACACTAGTAACATCTGTTTTTATAAGCTTTTATGTGCTCCCCTTTCCTTCTGTTTTCCGGATTTCTGTTTCAATCTGAGTCAGAACCTGTGGGGGTGTGTGTGTGAGGGGGATCCTAAGAGGGAAATAAACCATAAGACCATCATTAGCTATCTTCATCGAACAAAATTACATTCTGCCCTCTTTGCTGATCTCAGTTTATTCCCATTATGTTTAGCCTCTCTGGCTCCTCCGCCTCTCGTTCTGAATTTTGTTCGCAGTGACACCGTCAGTTCCATTCCCTCTCTTGGTCCTGCTTCTCCTCTGCCCGTGAACTCTAATTCCCCACAGTGAGCCCCCCTCCAAAGCCCACTTTACTGTTCATTTTCCGAATGGAAGGTGCTCTAGATTAGTTCATTTGATTAGATATTCAAATAAAAATTAGATGTGAGTAAATATCCTGATTAGTTGACCACACAGAAACCTACATCAACTTTGCTTTCCTTAAGTATGGGGACAGCTCAGTTATCTACTTTGAAAATCTGGGTCTGCAGATGTTTCCGTGTTCATTTCCTTACCCATTCACTCCGACGGAAGGACTGGGTTGTCGCTTTCATGGTCCTGGTTATAAAAGCAGGAAGCTGGGTTCTAGGAGAGTCAGCAAGGCTGACCCTGGGGACGTGGGAGGTGGGAGCGTTTGGAAAGAACCCTGACACGGGGACCTGATCTCTTCTACCCAGTTCCATTTATGGAGTAAGAAAAGACTATTGAATGTTTTGTCTACTACCTACCATTTATGGATACTCAAGTGAAGGGTTTTTCAGAGTTGATTTTAGGAATCAGATCTGAAAAATCCACTGAGGTAAATAGAGAATTAAAAGAACAAAGTTTTTAGTATTTAAAGCACATTGATTTTTGCAGTTATCCTCAGTTTTCCTGCTGCTGTTCCTTCCTGTCCAAGTCCCTCTGAATGCCTGGCTCTGTTCAGGAGTTGCAAGCAGCCAGGTAGGTCACTTTGAGATGGAGCCTCAGCCCACGACAGTGACTTACCAAGGTGACTTTCTCTCTCACATCCATGTTTCTCTCCCTCTTTCTCCCTCCCTTCCTCTCCCTCTAGAACTAATAAAAAAATTAAACTAGTTAAATTGAAAAATTTGTTGATATTTATATCAATCCTTCAAAGCATTTATGAAGTGTACAAGAAGAAATGAATTTATTACAAAATTACTTGTTACTGAACTATGTTCTTCTGACCACGACATCGCTAAGACCAAGCCACTTGAGGCGTGACTCTCACTCAGCCCTAGAGACGGCTTCTAACTCGATGGACTTACCATGAAGCATAACGAAAACTTTTTGGTCCTCTTGGTTTAGATCAGAATGAGAGCTAGCTGGGTGTTCTAACCAAAACAAGATAAAACATGCTGGGTTTGAATATAATCAACAATCTGTGAGATGTTTTAAGTCAGTATTTTCAAACTTTGTTGACCATGACTCGCAGTAAAAAAAAATAATGCATTTTACATGTTTCTAGTCTCATACGTGCACTTGTGTGCAGAGAATAAAACAAAAACCTACGGGACACAAGCTTTTCCCTCTTCCAACTTCTCAGCCCTTTCTTATCTTCTCCACTTACCTTTTTCTGTCTATTTAATTCTAGTTCATTGGGAAAACATTCTGGTCTCCTTACCACTTTATTATCAATTTTATTCTAGTTCAAAACAAATGCTAGTTATTAAACTTATTTCATGACTCACTTAAGTTTTTTCACAGCCCACTTAACCCATAGTATGGGATGTATGATGCTTTATTTCATTCTAATGCTCATCAACCTATAGCCTCCAAACAAACTGAAATCAACCCCATCATCTCCACTTTATCACCACTAAATTTCTTTCATCTGCATATGATTATTTGTT